GCATGGAATGGATCAGACTTTAATTATGGCCAGATTCAGCGTACAAAATGCTAGGTAGAGGGTAATTATAAAGCAGACGTTTCGAGTTCTACAAACTCTTGCGGCATAGGAAGGAAAGCTGCGAGATTTGTGCACCCCCCAACTCAGCGAAAGCGAGAAAAATCACACAAAAACAGCAAAATGAGAGCTTGTTTAACACCACCCGCCCGTCCCGTCGATGTTTCACCGGCGGCTATGTTTCACCATGCTTCCAGCGACTGTTTCATCGCTGCTCTCAATGTCTTTCTAGGGTGCGTACCTGTTCCTTTTTTTTTTTTACCTGTTCCTAACTGTAGGTGTTCTCTCCTACATATACCCTAAAGCGTAAACATACCGAACCAAACCACCGTAGAACCACCGTAGAGGGGCATGCTTTCCTGTCTACATAGGGGGGAGAATTGAACTCGAGGCTGAGTGCGTTGCGGCTCCTCCAAAGCAACGACCTTTTTTTTTGTGCGGCCAATCGAAGAGCAATCACCTTATTATAGAATGAATTTGGTTAAGACTCCAACCAATCGGGAAGGATTTTTCTCCTCTCCTCTCCTCTCCTCTCCTCTCCTGACCTTTTATCTCTTTCCGATTGGACTCCCTGCCCATGAGCGACAAGGAACAAGGAGAGGAGAGGAGGAAGAGAACAAAGGCAAGGGTGGGAGAGACGATTCATCACGAAGGGAAGGCTTTTCCTCCCAAAGCCTGATTGTCCCACGTGTCCCGCGTGTCCCCTCGTCAGAAATGAAAATGGACTTCTCCCCTCCCCCCCCCCAAATGACACAGGACGAGGCCTGCCTACCGTGTCCCCAGTCAGAATCGAACGCACGGTCATTATAGCTGTATTCGGGGCAACTTTCCGTCTACATACAGCGATACTACTGACCGTATACACTTCAATTTCGATGCGCGGGAAAACGGTGGTTACTTCACAATATCGCAATCGGTTCTCTACTCCGGTCTGAAAGCATTTGTTCCCTTCTTACATAAACCCATTTGTTACATTGCTTGTGCTTAAACGACCTTGTTCCCCTTCTGGAAAACCCCATGTAGTCGCTTTCCTCAGAAATGTTCATTACACAGAGTTACTCTTCTGTATTTCAGCAAAGATACACGCCCCCTAATCCATTCCCAGTCATCTTTTCTTATTTCCGATTCCATCTTAATGGACGTTCATATCGTTTGAACGATCTTGACGAACGTCTTTAACGAATCCAGAGTCTCCAAATCGAAAATCTCCACATCGAAAATCTCCAAATCGAGAATCTCCAAATCGAAAATCTCCAAATCGAAAATCTTCACATCGAAAAAATCTCCAAATCGAGAATCTCCAAATCGAAAAAATCTTCACATCGAAAAAATCTTCACATCGAGAATCTTCACTTGTGCTTTGAAGCTTTTCCCCAAGGACAGAGACCAAAGAGCTAAACAGTTTGGGTCGTACTTCACGGAGGAGAGAGACAGCATGACCCTGGGTAAGAAAGTAGGAATCTTCAGCAGACGTTAAAAAGCGCTCAATAAATGGACTGGGCAGTCAGTGGCATGCGAGAATCTCAAACCGACGATCTCCCAATCGAGAATCTTCACTATTCGAAGAAGCTTTTCCCCAACGGCAAAGACCAAAGAGCTAAACAGTTTGGGTCGTACTTTACGGAGGAGAGAGATAGCATGAGCCTCAGTACCAAAGTATGCATCATCACTAGACGATAAAAAGCAGATGTGGTGCATCTGCTTTTGAACGACAAACAATCCTGTCGTTCAAAAGACAGCATGAGTATGCATCATCACTAGACGATAAAAAGCAGATGCGGTGCATCTGCTTTTGAACGACAATCCTGTCATTCAAAAGAACAGCATGAGCCTCATATACGAATAAATGGACGGGACAATCAGAAGCACGCGATGAACAGGACGACAGGATTGTCGTTCAAAAGCAGAGCGCGTAGAAAACAGATGCACCGCATGCGTAGAACACAGGGAACAAAAAAATAATGACAAAAAATTAAAACAAGTAAAATCTAGAAAAATGAAAATAAAAAAAGAAAACGACAGCGGCAGCAAAGCACACGCACGACGGCAAGCGGAATCACGTCAGCCACGTCGAAAACGTCAGACAAGACCATCTCAACATCGAATGCGGTCCCCAACATGGGACACGAGGGACACGTTAGATGCGTAAGATGCGTTACGTACGTCGGACGCGATAGACACTTCCATGCGCTCCCCAAACGTCCAACAATTTGACATGTCTGTCATTACCTGCCACATGCTAAGGTATAAAGCGCGCACGTCCTGCACTGTAAGATGATCGAATGCCTTACATTGGATGGAGGTGCACAGCTGCAACAAGCGCGCACATCCTGCACTTGTATGATGAGTCGGTGAAACTCCGACGAAACAGTTTGTCGCAGCCCCTCCCTCGTTTGTTGTTCTCTACTCCTTTTCTGCCTACGGTTTACCGGGCAGCTCTGATTGACGATATATATATTATACATATACTTCTATACCTATATATTGTCCTAAATATATACATACATACATATGCTTATATACATATATATAAAGTCACAGCCGCTCGTTTGTTGTCCTCTTCTCCCTCTCTGCCTACGGTTTGCCGGGCACCTCTGTTTGACGTTATATATACATGTACTTATATGCCGGTACACCTATATATATATAAAGTCACAGCCCCTCGTTTATTATCCTCTTCTCCCTCTCTGCCTACGGTTTACCGGGCACCTCTGTTTGACGATACATATACATTCTTGGGAGCGAACAACATCCAAACATGCCAAGCGAAGCGCATCAGAGGAATAAACACTACGCGACCGTAGGCACAATGCCAACGCTTTTCTCTGGCATGATGACACAGACGGAAAAGGCAGCGTTAACGCTCCTATTCGCCCCCCGCCGCCCCCCCCTCCTCTCTCTCTCTCTCTCTCTCTCTCTCTCTCTCTCTCTCTCTCTCTCTCTCTCTGTGTGTGTGTGTGTGTGTGTGTGTGTGTGTGTGGGGGGGGGGGGGGGGAGGGGGGGAGGGGGGGAGGGGGGCGAAACTACTGGACTAAGGGCTGTTCTCTAGGCCATGGCTTACACATCTCTGCTTCCGGCCGAAAAGGAAGAGAACGGAATGGGGGACAGAGAGAGCAACCAAGGGAGCAGGGAAGACAGGAAGGAGTGTCGGGCGGAAGGAGTCTGCCCGCAAATGACAGAGAGACCGCGTCAGGAACGACAACACGGCGGCAGGCGGTACACATGAAGAACGACACGGAGAACGAAGAACAGCGGGGAAGCAAAAGGAAACACAGTAGGAAAGCGAGACACAAGAGAGCGCCAACGGAGGACTCCCACCGACCGATGCGATGATGGAGGGAGATGGTGATCGCTGCGAAGAGCGACGAGGGAGAGGCAGCAGGCGGAGGATTGCAGCGGGGATAAGGCGACGACGGGGAGACCAACGTAGCCGGTAAGGCTCATCGTGGAGGGTGAGGAGCCAAGGCCGACCGACTGAGGAGGAAGGTGAGGCGAGGGCAAGGGAGAAAGGACGACCGGGGGAGGGCAATGAGCGGACGGCCAACAGGCAGGGCGATGAAGAGTTTCTGAGCGACAGTCGGCAGGGCGATGGGCGGGGCTGGGTCAAGGGGCAGTGCGAGGGAGGGAAGACTGCGGAGAGAGCGGCATCGGAGCATAAGCGAGACATGGCATGATGACGAGTTGGGGAATGAGGGAGAACGGAGGGGAAAGGGGGAAAGAAGATAGACGAGAGAGAAAGGGAAATGGAAGAGAGGGAGGAAGAGGTTGCCGAGAAAGGAGGCGCCCCGACAAAAGGCCAATCTATGGGAAGAAGGCAATCGATGGGAAGAAGGCAATCGACGGGGAGAAGGCAATCGATGGGGAGAAGGCAAATGGGGGAAGAAAAACACGTAACAGCAAGGCTGCGGGGTAGGAGTACGACGTGGGCGGCGAGCACAGGTGAACAGAGAACATGACGTGGGGTAGGCCGCCATGGGGAAAAAGGGAACGCGCGTCTCTGCAACGCGAGGTAGGCGGCGATGGCAGATGGGGACAAATGACAGTGAAGAGCGGCGACATGGGGAGGAAGGGGGCAAGAGAGGGGATGTTTTTGAGAGTGAGGGAAACGCGGCGGGAGGGAGACGAAGAGTGAGAGCGACCTCCGGAAAGCCATCGCCCGAGAGGAACAGCGAACAGGAGTGCAAAAGACGACAGAGAGGGAATGCGGCCGCGCGAGAGTTTATTACAAATCTCATCTCTTGGCTGGCTGCTTATACGATGATTGATTAGTTGACGTTTCATTTAGTAATATGGTTTCGGTCGATCCATTCAGTCGTCGATTCATTGACTACCGTCTTCACCCCAACAGAACGCCCGGACATTGCAGCTGTATTTGGGTCAATTTTCAGTGCACATACACAGCATGCACAGCGATAATGACCGGGGAGTTCTAGTCGAGTGACGACTGTGGACTCTGCGACTGGTCGGACGGATGAATAAACTGGATCAATGGATGGGTCGATCGCTCACTTGTCCATCTGCACCAGTAAATGAAGCTAAATGCGATCGATCCGTTTGCAACACTCGGTCAAACTAATTACTAAGCTAAATGATCTCAGTGATTGATCACCTGGTCCATTGATTACTTAGCCAGTTCGCCCCTCTCATCATCGATCCATGCATTCATATCATCATTGATTAATCAGAAAAGTGTCTCCTCTTGACTACTCTCACAGTTATCAAAATGACGTGCGAGTACTGGGAGAGGAATGGCAGCAGAAACAAGCCCAAGCAAGCCTGAACAGAGGGGTAGGGAACCGGAAGTGAGAAGAGATGAG